CACTCCCAGCTCCCTTAGTCGTCCCAGAAGGATACCATGGTCAATGGTATCGAAAGCCCTGAGAGGTCAAGTAGCACCAAGATGGAGGAGTGACCCCCCATCTCGGGCTTGCCAGAGATCATCCATCATTGTGACCAAAGCAGTTTCCATGCTGTAGCCTGAAACTACAGGCCTGAAACTGAGGCCTGAAGCCAGACTGAAAAGGGTCTAGATAATCTGTTTCCTCCAATGACCGCAGGAGCTGAAGTGCCATCATTTCTCTACAACCTTTCCCATAAAGGGTAGTTGGAGACCTATGGATGAAAGTTCTTTAATTCTGCTGGATCCAGGGAAGGCCACTTGAGGAGGGGACATACAACCGCCTCCTTTAATGGTTGCGGGAAGGCCCCTTCCCTCAAGGACACATTAACTAAAGCCTGGAGCCAGCCTCGTGTCACCTCCCTGCTGGCCAAAACCAGCCAGGAGGGGCACGGGTCCAACAAACAAGTGGAGGAACTCATTGCTCCTACAGCATTGTCCACTTCCTCAGGAGTCACAGGCTCAAACTCATCCCACACAATAGGACTAAGACCTGCCCCCGTCATCTCGGTCGGAATTGCCCAATCAGAGTCCAGGTCCATCCAAATCTGAGCGACTTTATCCGACAGGAACTGCACAAACTCCTCAGCTCTACCCTGCAAGGGCTTCTCCACTCCCCCTAAATTAAGGAGGGAGTGAGTCACCCTGAATAGGGCGGCTGGGCACGAATCCGCGGATGCAATAAGTGCGGAAAAATGCTGATCCCGACGACGAGGAGGCTGGTGTGGTGTCGCTCCAGCAGCCTGTACAGCCAGCGCTCGAGTCGGACAGCGAGGAGGCTGAAGAGATGTAGTGCCAGAGGCAGGGATTCAACCAGGGCCTTCAGAACCTCCAGAGGATGAAATGGAGGAGCCTCTTCTCAATGCACAGGCACGCAGAGCTGCCAAAAGGCAGGAGTGGTTACTCAGGAGGAGGTCTCCTCGAGAGTAAGGCTTGGGGCTAATTGGCCACTCCCTTAGCCTATTTAAATTTGCACACAGCTTGTAAAAAGCTGCAGAAAACAACGTTCATTCATTCGCTGATCATTGAGTTTGGATTTTCTCTGCAAACCTGGCTTCTGGGCTTTCTGCCAACTCTTGTAAGACTCTATCTTATCTGTGGAATTTCTGGCAGGTTGTTAAGAACGTTTTATTAAGAGCCTGCATTTGCAAAAGACTGTGTTTTGAAGTAAACTGAGTTTTGTTCGGAGTTTGTGTGTGCTACATTCTTTGGGATCCGTAGCTGGGGCAGAACAGATTGATGTCACCCGAAGGGTGGAGGTTCCTAGGGATTTATGTTTAGGGTTTTATTTCTGTAAGCTGCCTGGAATCACCATGGCAGAGTTGGATGGCCACATACAGTTCCTTCATAAATAAATAAAATAAAAATTATTTATGTCACATTCCATGTGGACTCATGGAGCACATTTAAAATGTGAACGCACTTTGAATGCTGAGTTACTTCATTTCAAGCTGGTTCATTATCTTTAGTTTTTTTAATATTTCCAGCTGTGGCACAGTGCCCTGGGAGATGTAAAGGTAATTAAATAAAACCCTCCAATGGAAGGATTTAATGCATACTGCCCTACTTCTGATCCCTGTTTTTCTTATTCTTTTCTCTTTCCCTACTTGAAACTGGTGCCTAGGAGTACAGCGCAGGCCTCTGATTATATGAGCGGGCCACACCCTGCTTGCTCCCATGGGGGCTGTGATGGCAGAATATTTGGGGGAATCCAGCTGTTTGTTCTTCTTTGATGCCATTTGTTCCTGGAAATTAGAGCAAGATTTCTTTTGCCTTCTAAATTAGTTCCATTTTATAGCACTCTTTAACTACTTCCTGAGGAAATTTCAACAGGCATCTTGGCAGGCATTGATTCCAGGCAGAACCTCATCTCATCAGGAAGCTTAAAAGGTAAGGAAGCATTGTAATTATCTCTCTAGTGAGTTGGCAAGCTGGTGAGAGGCACGCCACCATCTAAACGGCACACTGAAGTTGTAATAACAGCTAATGCTCTAATTGATGCAGTTACGGGTTTTAAAACATTTTCATTGCAATTAGGAGTCTGGGGCCCAAAGATGTTTCTATAGCATTTGCGAAACACACGATCAAGGGGAGCAGCCATTAAATGCCCTGTTCACCCCAGTGCTCTCAGCAATGGAATTAGGCAATTAAATGTTGAAGTTGGATTCCTCTAAGCTTAGGTTTATGAAGCATGGCGTATGCTAGCAGAATTTTACAGTGTAGAAAGAAAATGTTTAAAGAATACATTTTCCTTATTTTTATTAAAACATAAAAGCAAAGCAATGTATATTGTGACTATCAATAAAAAAGAAAAGGGAGACTTACAAATTACCTTTCCACTTGTGCCTCCTTTTTATAGTTCCAGGCTTGATTTTTCTCCAAAACGCTCTGGTTTTTTCTTAATATACCCACTTTTCCCTCTCCAATTCAACATTATTTAAACTGAGGTTGGTCAATCATTATGGAACTTTTTGGAAAAGATGGATTAGTAATACAATTTCTGCATGTGTGATGCTGCTCTCTCATCTCTCTTAGTGGCCTGTTTCAGTTTCAGTTCTCTTGATGTTCACTGTTATTATATTGATGTGGATAAGTAAAGAATTCTCTTTCAAATATAGAGAAAATCAAGGGTGCAATACAATTCTATGTGTAAAGTGAATTAATATCACCATCAACCTTAAGAAAAACGAATTGCTTGAACTATTTTAACTTCCTTTTCCTCCTGTCATAATTTAAGATTTGGGTGAAAAAGTGTTTTCAGAATTTCATGGTTTGTTTCCTTACTAGCAATGTGATCTTTTAAAAAAAAAACCAAAAAAAAAAAAACCTTATACTTTGGACATCTGGATTCAGTAATATTTCTGATTAAGCTTTTCTAAACTAAAACATAAGCATATAAATATTTTGAAAAATTCCTTCAAATTTTTACAGTAATATTGGTTTATCAGTAGCAATTTGGTGGTAAAATTATTTACTCTATATTGGAATTAAATATAGAAAACTAATTACGTTTCTAATGTTTGAACCAGATCAGACTTACCAGGCACTACTGAGACTATATGGCTTCACCCATCCTTCTCCACAATTCATCCATAGCAGCCATACGGTGATGAGCAGGAGGCCTTTTCAAACTATATTTGACATAGCGGCCTGCCTACCGGTCTCCATTTTAGTTTCCACCAATGCAGAGCCTGATAACATTGTCAAGGATTGAATTTCAGATAAACTAACACATAGCAGGCAACCAAAGCATTGCTTTTGGACTTCTTTCAAAAGATTCCTTTTCTCCACAAGAACTGCAGTGAAGTTGAGGTGGCAGGCCAGGTGGTGGTTGATGGAGTGATGTAAGAGAATATGGGGGTAATACCTGATAGGGACAGCTTAATCAGCACCATACTGGAATTGTAATATAGGCTGTGTCAGACTTAAATTGGACGTACCAACGTGGAATGTCCACGTGCCTGATTCCAGCTTTGCCCAATCTCAATTTGCTTCGGTTTGGAAGCTCCAATGGAAGAATGCCACCCAGTTTTCACTATCTGTTTGCAACATATGACGGATTTCAGGTTTCAATCTGGGTGTTCATTTAATGGGCATTAGCATTTTAAAGTTTGCACGCTGATTCTTCAGCATTCACAGCCCATCAGCCTGCCAAGATCAAACACATCGTAAAAAGTCATATGAGATTACTCTCTTGTTTAAATATGAGAGCTAGGTATAGACTAGGTCAGCTTTATTACAGCCATAGGCCAGTGGCTAGATATAAGCTGAAAGACATCTCCCTGCATTTAATCATTAACATTAAATTTACTGAGGAATATTCATTATTTATCTTTTGGAAACTTTTGGCATATATGCACCAAAGAAAAGGCTTGCAAATAGGATTTGAAGCTGCAGTGTCAACAGAAACACAAATCCAACAATATTTATGAATATTTTGCTTTTTGTCCTATAAAGCCTAACAATATTTTCCAAGCAGTGTCCTGATAAATAAGGCTTTGGAAACAAGACAAGAACAACGAGTACCTTAATTTGCTGTCCCTTGGTCCCTGAGAAAAAGAGAAAAAAAATAGGATGTGATGCAATCTGGATGCCATTTTGGTATTTTCTCCCTCTTTACAGAAACTCCCATCACCTTGTACTCCGTGTTAGTTATGATACCAAGTGGAAGTGTGCACGGCGTTCTCCTTGGGATACAAGAGATTACTGTAGGCTGCCATATAGTCCTCCTTTGCATTTTGTTTTGTTTTGGGTTTTTTGTTTCACTTTCCTTATCTCAGGAGAGTGACAACTGTTGCTCATTAAAAAGGAAGAAAAAAAATAAGTAGGGGCTGGTGATTACCAGCAGAAGACTATTTATAAACTCTTGAACAATAGCTGACCTTGGCAGCTTCAAATGCTTGGACAGCCTAGCATTCTCACTGCCTTGGAGTATCGTGTTCCCACCCAACTGCCTGGGGCTGGCTTTCCCACTTGTGGTTGCCAAGATGCTGCCTGTGGGTGGAGGCACAAGAAGAAAGCATAAACCATACAAGGAGGTTAAGGCAAGGAGCTTGTGTTTTCTGTAGTGAGTTCAGGAAACATTTTATTTGCCTTCTCCCTGGAGTGTAAAAATATTGGCCACTGCTCTTTTTCAGATCCTTAATTGTTAGTGTTGGGCTCTTTGTTCCTATTTAAAGTAATAAATGCATGGTTTCTACTTTTGACCTAGTCTGTTTTCTGTTTATGCATTTCGTTTTGCTACTTTCAGTTTAAAGCCACTACCACCACCACATGTGCAACAAATCATAAAGGTATTAGCACTGCTTTTTCTTCTCTCTTCCTCCCTCTTGTGTGCTCATGACCCACACCCATCCGCACACTTTTAACTCTCAAAAAAGCAGGAGACAAATTATGCAAAATTTGTTTGTCGCAGCTTCTAGTTACATTACACTTGTTTATTTGTTGCACATATCACGCACAAACATGTACGGGCATATTTCTACATATATTCTTAAATGCATAAGGAATGCATGTGGTAACGTTAGAACTGTTGCTTTGGGGAGGCTGATGTCTGTTTCTTTTAATGATGATGCTGTGTCGTTGGCCAAAAATCTTAATGATTTGCAGTTAGGAAAGGAGCATGTGGAAATGATTTGTTCTTTTAGAGAGAATGGGAAGAATTGAATCGTGAAACAAAACAATATATGAAGGAAAAGTGAATGGGATCCAGAGGAAGAGAAAGACTGAAAAACAAACTGTGATTGGAAGGACTGGATGAAATCCTAAAAAGAAAGAGATGAAAAGTTTAAGGAACAAAAGACAATGAATTGGTGAATAAAGGTGTAGAAAAAGTACAGAAAGATATGACTGCTATTTATATAAATTAGATTTAGCTATATTTTCTTTTTTTTCTTGTTTATTTAATTAATGTATATATCGAACTTCTTAACAGCCTATCTCCCTCATAGAGGGACTCCGGCTGATGGACAATTTAATCAATATAATAAAATATTAAAAATGGGATAATTTAAAATAATTAGTAATTTTATATAAGAGTAGTGTAATAGCTGTGTATATATATCTCACATTTCCTTCAGGCTATATGAATATCCCAAAAGAAAACCTTACTCCTTTTCTCTGACTTCTCACTCTGATATCGCTTACATTGGTTAATCCAATCTATTGATAATCTAAATCTATTGGTAATGCTGATTCCTTCAGTGACCACTAGATGGATTCCTTGGTTTTTGCTGTAGAAAATAGACAAATAAGGTAGTAAGAATTTCATTTTATCTGGGAGTATCTATATCTGCTGTTTTAATGGCACACTTCTTTTTTGCTGGGAAGGGTCTGAGAAGTGTTCACCAATTATAAAAAGAATGGGTTAACATGTTTGTACTAAGATGTTTTAAGAAACATATTTAAAAACAATGCTCAGTTCAGTTTCCATTTTCTTTCCATTCGCAGCTGTTCTGATCATTTGGCTTCCATGAGGCCCAAGTAGAATCATAATATATTATGTATGTTTTCAACCAATTATCTAATCATTGTAGATGCTGTTGCAAATGATCCCCTAAGCCACAGTGGAAAGAAGTGTGTGAGAGTGAGAAATTGTATTCAAAGGAGAGTCTGTGAAATGGAAGAAGCCACTTTTATCGATAAAAAAATTGTTTCAGTGCTCACATCATATTGTTTTTGCAAGGGAATAGCCCAAATATTAGTAAATTATTAATTAATTAATTTAATTAATTAAATTAGTAAACTCTATGAATACTTTAGGTTTAATATATAAGAAAAATTTACAGAGTGGCATATGTAACAATAGTTTTAAATTACATCTGAATTTAATCTTGTGGTAGGTATGGTAATTTCTTTTTTCCTAACTCATGATCCTGAAAGATGGGTTTAGCCATTGTAGCTCAGTAGAATTTGATATTTATTTCTTTGTTTTGTTGTTCATATTATTGGTGTAGGCTGTTACATATGCAACTCTGTAAATTATTCTTTTGATCTAATAGAATAGAATGTAACCTAAACTTATAGCCACATTTATAAATAACAGGAAATCTATGCTTAGGTATTTTAACACTGTGACATCTTAACATGTATACTATGTAAATGTATTTCAAATTCAGATGATAATGTGTTGTTTTTAGTTTTGTTTCTAAATTCAAAAATATGATCTTCCATGTCAAAAGAGCCCAATTCTCTACCCACTATGAGGCTCAGCTGAGAATATTTCTTTCAGCACTGCTCTATGAAGTAAGGCTGGTTCTCCATTCCAATCTTCTCTATGTGATCATCTAGTTAGTTACTGTAGTTGCATGCCTGCATGAAGACTGTTGGTGTAAATCAATCTTTCTGTATTCTAGAATGTGGAGATGGCATCACAATTGATAGAAATGGAGATTTTTTTTTGTTTCTTCACTGGTGGTTCCTCCAGGACTTCCATTAGTCATCTACTGTTCAGGTTGATTTATATTTTTAACTAAATAGTTAACTGTACCTTAATGTTACTTTTATCTTTATCCTGCTGATTGTGTATCAACAATGTAGGCATTGTTTCCCCCCCCCCCATACAGATAATAATAGAGCAGAGAGGAATAGAATAGAATAGAATAGAATAGAATAGAATAGAATAGAATAGAATAGAATAGAATAGAATAGAATAGAATAGAACAGAACAGAATAGAATAGAATAGAATAGAATAGAATAGAATAGAATAGTTGGAAGGGACCTTGGAGGTCTTCAACCCCCTGCTCAGGCAGGAAACTCTATACCAATCTTTTCTTAAAAACTTCCTCAGCTAATAATCATTCATTTAGTGACTATTTGAAGTTACAATGATGTTATAAAAAGTGACTTACCACCAACTTATGATTGTTGCAGCATCCCAGGATTACATGATCACCATTTATGATTTTCCCATCCAAGCAAAGATAATGGGAGGAGTTGGATTTCCTTAGCAATGTGATTCACTTAGAACTGCAGCAAAAATTGGGAGCGATTCATTTAATGACCTCATTGCTTAGAAGTGAAGTTCCAATCCTAACTATGGACATACTGTAAATTGAGGACTACCTGTAATTTATTATCTGTGAAGTCCTACTGTTCCAGAAGATTATGTGAAAAAAAGAGCAATGGTTGTCAAAATTACCTTTTTTTTCATCTTCTCATGATCAGTTACATTAGTTGGCATCCCTTCTTATACCCATCTATTGACATTACTAAAGTCTTGTGTTCATTTGTATCTCCTCCTGGGGCTACTCTGTCAAAAGGGGAGGGTAGAAACCAAAGTGGAAAGATGCAATTACTAGTTTAAAAGAAGGAAACAATTATCTATTTAAGAGAATAGTCTTAAGAAGAGCCTGCCTGCCCTCAAAATTAAACCTATAAATATAGATGATTTGGCAGATATAAACATCTCTCATTTTCTCAGCTTATGTAGTGAGGAAAAACTTAAGGAAAAACTTCAAGGATATATTAACTTGGAAAATAACATCAATGTGAGTTTGAATTTATATTCATAATAACTGTGTTTTCACAATAAAAGAAAGGGAAGAGATGGTTCCCTTTGCTTTGTGTTTAGATAAACTTCCTGTTCATTTCAGACATTTTGAAACAAGAAGAACAAATGCATTTGAATTCTGGTTTGGACATGGAAATTGGCTGCCTGAGAGCAAGCAGAGAAGATACCCTACTTCCCAATCCAGTTGTATAGAACCCAAAAACAGGTTTGGCACACAAGGTAGAAATTTGCACAAAAACAGTAACAGATGAAATGTTATAACTTTTCTTTGCCCGTTCATGATATTCAGCCCAGAGTCTAGACATTCAATGTGGATGTATGTGCAGTCAAGGATGGTCCATTTCAGTAGCTTTCAGTGGTATCATATAAATGATATCACTCTTAAGTTCTATTCTTATTCATGTTATTAGAATATAGGTAGACGTTGAGTTACAAATGTAATGGAAACTGCCCATTATAGTCGGAAGTTGAAATGGTTGTAAAGTGGGTTGGTCACACGATCAACCCAGTTTTATGACTTTTTCTTGCAGTGGACATTAATTGAAAACAGTGGTCATTAAGCAAACCCATTGTTCGCTATGGTACAGTTTTGCTGAATATTGGAAATAAGTACCAGTTTTGGGTAAACCAACGTAAAACAGAGTCACATGACTGCCGGACGCTCAAAACAGCCATAAATGTGATTGTATTGCTGAGTGCCCAAAGGGCAGTCACATGACCATGGAGTGGGGTGACTATCAGAACTTCAGAACTTGGTCATAAGTCCCCTTTTTCAGGTAGGTCATAACTTTGACTGGTTGCTAAGTGAATGGTCATAATTAAAGAACTACTTATAAGGCTGATATTGAAAATGCTACTCTTAAGAGGCTGATCACTGAAGATGGTAAGAAAAGCTATTGAATTGATGGAAATCTTGCCCATAGAGAAGGGGTGTCAAACTCAAGGCCTGTGGGCCAGATTTGGCCTGTGGGGTGCTTAGATCTGGCCCGCTGGGCCACCCTGGAAATAGCGAAGGATCGGCCCACAGTGTCTCTGCCAGCAAAAACAGAGATTGGGAGCAGAGTCTTAGCACTGCTCTAGCCCTCAATGTATTTCCAGATGAATATTAGAAAGAATTGAGAGTAATTAATACAAAGATATATTGAAGGAGTTAGAGACTAAAATGTTGATATTTTAATAATTAAAATTGGGACTTATTTTTCTCATTAAAACAAATGCTACTATGTCTAAAATCAGATTGCATTTGTGATACAATTGCTTTGTGGTTGAAACTGGAGGTACCCTTGTTGTTTCTTCTGGGAAACATCTTGTAATTGCATTTAGAACATTCAATGTACAATTCATCATGAACTTTATTTTGCTTGATTGTTTTTGCAGGAACATAGATTTTTAGCCCTGTGATTACCGCAGCTTTTTTTTTTTTAGATAAATAAGCTTTTAGACCTTGTATAATGTTTTTGTTGATTTTTTTTAAAAAATACAGCCTGCAGTGCAGTGTGCAGCTTAAAAACCGAGATATAAAATCAGAGTTAGAAAAAACCATTGAGGCGATCATGTCCAGCACCCTGCTTGGTTCAGGAATCAAAATCACAGCATCCCAGGCAGATGTCTGTCTAGCCTCTGCTTGATAGCATACAACCAAGTAGAACCTACCAAGTTTTATGGGGTAACTCATTTCATTGTAGAACAGTGGTTCTCAACCTTCCTAATGCCGCGACCCTTTAATACAGTTCCTCATGTTGTGATGACCCCCAACCAGGGATGGGTTCTAAATTTTTTTACTACCGGTTCTGTGGGCGTGGCTTATTTTGTGGGCGTGGCTTGGAGGTCATGTGACTGGGTGGGCATGGCTATGTGTATAGGGACTACTCAGAGGGCTGAAAAAAGTCATTTCTGACAAGTCCTCGGACTTTTGACTGGTCCTCACACTTATGACCATCCTCACATTTATGCCTGTGCAGCATTCTTAACAACCATGTCACTCATTTCACAACTGCTTCTCTTCAACATGGTATAAGATAGGGCAAAAAATGTAGAATGTGAGGACAGTCGTAAATTCGAGGACTGGTCAAAAGTGCGAGGACCAGTCAAAAATAACTTTTTCAGCCCTCTGAGTAGTCCCTGTGCACAAAAGGACTAACCAGAGGGCTGAAAAATGTGATTTCTGGCAGGTCGTCGCACTTTTGACCGGTCTTCGCAGTTATGACTGGTCATCATTTATGCCCATTGTACCATTCTTAACAACCGTGTCACTCATTTCACAACTGCTTCTCTTCACCATGGTGACAAGATAGCGCAAAAACGTAAATTGTGAGGACAGTCGTAAGTTCGAGGACTGGTCAAAAGTGCGAGGACCAGTCAAAAATAACTTTTTGAGCCCTCTGAGTAGTCCATATGCATAAAAGGATACAGCAATAGAGAGAGATGAAGGAAGGGAAGGGAAATTAGAGTAGGAGTGAAGGTAAGAGAGGGAGGAAGAGAGGAGGAGAAAGAGAAAGAAAGAGGAAGTAGGGAGAAGAAGAAGAGGGGGGGAAGAGAAAGTAAGAAAGAAAGAAAAGACAGAGGTGGTAGGTTTGAGGAGAAAGATTGCTGTACAATAAAAAAGATGAAAGGGAAGAAAGCCAACCCCAAACAAATATTAAGATATTAAGATAAAGAATGAATTGTTAAACTTTAAAGAATAAAAGAGAACAAATAGCAATAAATAGCAATAATTAGAAACACACATACAAACATACAACGTATTTTCTTTGAACAGAGTATTTGGCCGGTTCACAAATTTAAACAGTTGTAGGAGGTTAGCACCCACCCCTTTCCTAGAAGAATGAAATATTTTGGGAAATATTAAAAAGGCAGAATATTATATTTCCCTACCTGGATGAGAAATGGAGAAGCATATTTTACAGACAAAGCAGCTCCCACCTTCCTGCCCCCCACCCTTTGTTAATGGGCCAGAGGCAGAAAGTCAATCCTTTGTCAAAGGACATTTGCAACACAATAGCAACAGAAACTAACACAATGGGCCCCATCAAGCCATGTGATCCTGTCCACCATTAAACCATCTTTCCAAGCAGTCTCCATGTTTCCAGTGTTTTTTTCCCCACTTGGAGCAGAACCCAGAAGGATATTTCTTCCAACACAGTATTTAGTCATTTCAATTAAATTTACAATTTCTATATTTCCTTTTTTACCATATTTATTCCTCATCTATTTTTTTAAAAAAACAATATTACCCTTCATCCTCATCTCTAATCTTAATCAAATTCAATTTTTCCCTTCTATTCTATATTATACCCCTTCGCATTGTCATCTATTTTTATATCCATCTTCACATTGGTTAATTATGTAATTATGTAATACAGTTGTTTAATACAAATTCAACATTTTAATATAAATCAATTAGTTATATAACTATCTTTTTTGTATATTAATCAATATGAACATGAATATTCCAATTATTTCCATGCAATCCAATTTCTTACAAATCAATTAATTATATTTACCAATAATAATAATAAACCAAATAATTTCTCCCATATATTCCTCCAAACCACAACTTAACCAATTAATAGTATCTCAATTATTACAATTCCCTAGTTAAATAGAGCTTTTTTTCTTTTGTGTTTTAAAATCTTGAACTCTCCTCTTTTGCCCTAAATTTCCCATGTTTGCATCTACCTTTTTTGGTGAGGAAAAAGAAAAAGAAATCTGTCTCTGCCTCATTTTGTCACGTTGCAGCAAAGACCCTTCTTTACTTTCAATTTCACTTTTTCAGCATAG